AGAAACGATTTATATTATAAACCATTAAAACCAACAATGTTTCAAACAATTAGTTGAATACTATTCGTCTTGCCATTTTAGAGACAAAAACATCAATCAAATCTGATAATTTAGCTGCCCAACCATTTCTTTTTCTATTGATAACATAGCCAACCCGTTTAATCTTTCTTTTGAAATAGTTGATCGAAGATAGGTCTTGATCAACTTCAATTTTGAGAAACTTCTTTCTGCATATGCAACGGTAACAGGTATGGTTAACAAAATTTTGTAAGCAATATAAGCATTTGGGTAATAAATATTGTGAGTCTTTAAATATTGTAGCACTTCAATTGCTCTTGTTGCTTCATTTGGTAAATAAATCTTCAAGATTTGTAACTCCGAACATAAATCATCTCCACTGATGTCCGAACGCCCATCATGTTCAAGATATTTCTCAAAATTCATACAAGAGTTCAACAAACTTGATAAAGTTGCATTCCTTAACCTTTTCAAATTAAACAAAAATCCAAATATGTCATCATATTGTTTGAATTGTTCAAATCGACCCCTCAGAGAAGATAAAGTTTGATCAATTATAAAAATAAAGTACTCAACTCTAAAAGATTTTTCCACTGATTGCTTTACCCCATCACTACCGCTTTTATCAAATTGTTTTTTCCTTCGAATTATGCATTTTTCTATAAATACAGCTTCAATTCCCATTTTGTTTGCCTTTTTTGTTGCTTCATCCATAGCAATGGCAAATCCAATTTCTCTATAATCTTCAAAAAATAAAACAAGTCCTTGCAATAGATCGATAGCATGATCAATATCCATGGATTCGGTTTGAAGAAATTTACTCACAATATTGACTGCATGCAACAACCTGTACCAGATTACTATGCCAAGTAAGAACTCAAAATTCTGAAGTTCATGTGTTGCTAACGACTCGGCTTCACTTTTCACTTTTGGATCTTCGTTAGATTCTGCCAAATCAAGTAAGGCTTCTCTTATCTGTGCAGTTTGCTCCATTATAGGTTTCACACTCTCAACATGACTTTTCCAACGTGTTTGTGACAATGGCTTCACTGTCAACCCTTTTACATTATCTTTGAAAATTTTCCATTGCTTGGTAGAAAAGGAAAATAAAGTGCAGATGCGTTGTATCACTCCGAAGGATACAGCTTTGGAACAACAATTCACCATATCACATAATGCTAGATTTAGACTATGAGCACTACATGGAGTATAGAAAGCTCGGGGATTCATTTCATGTACTCTTTTTTGTACACCTTTGTGCTTCCCACTCATGTTAGATCCATTATCATACCCTTGCCCTCTAATGTCATCAATATCTAGATCAAGTTTGATCAAAGCCTTTTGAAGCTCGGTTGCAAGTCCAAGTCCTGTTGTGTCATCTACCTTCAAAAATTCAAGCCAATGTTCCTCAACTGTAGGTAAGTTTGCTGAATCATCTTCAAATCGTACTATCAAAGACATCTGCTCCTCACGATTTACATCTGGAGTACAATCAAGTATAACCATGAAATATTTTGCATGTTTAACTTTCTTGACAATTGCATTTCTCACCTCATTAGCCAACAACTGTATCAACTCATTTTGGATTTTTTTTGCCAAGATACGTGTATTGAATCTCTCTTGCATTAGCCCGCCGAAGGTGCTCTTTCATTACTGAATCAAACTCACTAACCATTTCCACCATTTGTAAAAATAGGCCATCATTCTCAACATTTAGCCTCTCATCATCTCCTCGAAATGGCAAGGTATTTTTGGCGAGTCTTTTAACAATAGCGATTATCCTTGTTAAATACATGCCTCCAATGTTCTCTTTCTGCA